GCCTCTGGGCCCGGCCGGGGCTCCCGCCGAGGAGCGGCCCGGGCGCTCCTTCAAGGAGCTGAGATACAGGGTGTGAGAGTGAGGATGGGGCCGCACACCGGCCCAGACAAGGCGGGGATCAGCCTTTAGAGTAACATAAATTAATGCAAAATACAGTTTTTACATTACTGTAAAAATTTACAGTATGCAAAATGTAAATTTTAAATTAATGTAAAATACATTACAGTGTGGTCCCCGCAGCAAAAACGTCCGGGCATGTTGCTTTTAGCTCCTTTGCGCCTCTGCTGAATGGTGCTTTTCCCTTGCCGGTGCAGGGGAGCTGGGTGTGTGCCCAGGCCTCTGGATCCCTTCGTTTGCGGCTCAGTTTGTAGAACAAGGGGATGGGCTTTGCACAGAAGTGGTCGAGGCACAGGCGCTCGATCCATTAGATCAATTTCGTAACAGGAAGTAGTAATGTTTAGACCATCTTGTTAAGCAGGACTCATGTGCTCTTCAACGTTTTCATAAACAACCTGAGCACAGGACTGGAAGGGATACTAAGGAAGTTTGCAGATGATACACAGCTGGGAGCTGTTGACTCCCTTGAGGACAGAGAGGCTCTCAGGCACAGGGTGCAGTTCTTGGGGCTGTCTGTGCGGGGCCAGGAGGGGGACTCGATGATCCTTGTGGGGCCCTTCCAACTCAGAATATTCTGTGATTCATGTCCCAGATCACCACAACCACCTGAAGCTGTATGTGTGGGACGTGAGACTGTGGTAGATACAGCATTGGTCACAACAGTGTGTTCCTCTGTGTTTCCCTTAGAGATACTATTTTCACCACATTGTTAGCCCAGGTTTGAGGTGTGATGCTCTACCAGCTCACATACCTAATTTCCTGTGCGCTTGTTATTTACCCTTCTTGTTACGAAGTTCCTGCTGTAAACTGACACATGGGGTGTGGTAGAAAGATTCCTTAGTATTTCTCTCCACTGTCAGAGGAAGGAGGACATCCTTTTGGTTTTGTGCCGGTTTTGTAGCTTTTCTTTCTTTGCATTTTGGTAGACATCCACCAGAGAGGCTCTGATTAACGACAACATCAAGCCGTTGTTGAGCGCATTTAACCAGGTTCCTGGGAGGTAAGTAAATGTCACTTGCTTTTTAAAAAGTGCCTATTCGGATAGCTTTTGGTAATCTTGTCCCTAATGGTTGTTACTAACTAAGGTGGAATGTTTGCATTTCAGTGAAAATGAGAAGAAGTGCACTTTGGATCAAGCTTTTAGAGTTGTTGTGGAAGAAGAAATAGTAAGTACTTTAAACTGCTGCAGCCCATCTCTTGTTGAACCTCAAATTTCTATTTGCAGGCTAATATACTAATTTAATAGCAACTTAGTATAAGAAAACACTGTTTACTAAAACAAACATGAACTATGTAGTAGTTAGGTAATTAAGATTGAATATGAATGGTTTAAAGAGATTGGTGGAATTTACAGACACCACACTATAGTGAGAGCTGTTGGCTGAGCCTTTTCCAGCAGTTCTTTGTAATGCTTGTGAAAGTCTGCTATGTCTTAAAATTCTAATTCGTAAATATGCATTTTTCTACAACTGTACTTTAAGAGTGGGTGGAAAGGGTAGGTTTAGATCAGATATTAGGAAGAAATTCTGCACTGTGAGGGTGGTGAGGCGCTGGCACAGGTTGCCCAGAGAAGCTGTGGATGCCCCATCCCTGGAAGTGTTCAAGGCCAGGTTGGATGGGGCTCTGAACAACCTGGTCTGGTGAAAGGTGTCCCTGCCCATGTCAGGGGGTTGAAACTAGATCATCTCTAAGATCTTTTCCAACCCAAACCATTCAGTGATTCTGTGATTTTTTACTAGCATGTAACAAAGCTGCCTTGTCAGCTTGTCAGAAAAGAAAGATGAAAGGAATCAAATAATATATGATCAAATTAAATACTTCATTGAAGTCTGAATGTTGGGTATTAATTTTCAGAGCTAAATGACTCTGCACATTAGGGTCTCTAGTGGCAGGAAGCATTCAGGAATGATTCCTCAGTAAAAACTTCATATAGTTAACTGACAGGTCAAATTTAATAGATAGTTGAAAGTTTGGGAAAGTTGAGCATCAGTATTTGTTTAAAATTTGCCTACTTGAAAACAAGAATTTTAGTTCTGTTAGATTAATTTAGGTCAGAATAGAGAAATTTAACACTCTTTTCTTTGTTTAGATAAACAAAGCCCCATGTGACAATCTCCTGGCAATTATATCTCTTGCTATTAATGGAGTCACAGAAGGTGAGCATCTTTCTTTTGAATTTGTTGGCGGTTTTAGAGACCATTTAGGGGAATTCTAAAATCATGATTTCTCTAAGTCATCTAGAGTGGCTAGCTTTTGTAATATGTGGCCCTTATGCTAGTGGTTATTAAGTTTGTTTCACAAGATAAATTACGTATAATATAATCAAATTGAGGTGTATGTGTGACATTTGTGTTGGAATCTTTCTTCTTTTTTTTAATAGAGAAAGATGCATGGTTTTGGCTGCAGCATGATTAGCATTTTGTGTCTTTGTCCACTCTAAAATGCTTAGATTTATCCCATCATAATTTCAGAGATGAGACCACTGAGGCAGTACACGACTGGGTTTTAGATATTTGAATCTGTTTCTGTAACTGTCTTTTGTGTCAGAAATCAGCGTGCTGATCTCTTCTGAAGTGTATTTTGCGCTCTTCACCTTGTTTATTTGTTCACATTACAGATAAAATACTGGTTTCTTTTAGTAGGTATAGCTGAACTACATGTATGTTTCATGAACTGTGGAATAACTTGACCTGTGATTACGAGGAATGCTGATACTGCCTACAAGCATGGATAGACAGACTTGGAGCACTACTTTAGCAGTGCTTTACTTGAGGAAAAGGCTCTCAGGCTTCATGGGTGGGTGCAGACTGACTAACTGTGGATTTAGAAGTCTGAAAGAGTTCACTTGCAGTCTGCAAACAGGTGCGACATTATTTCAGACTTTAGGTCTTTAGAACAGTTATTTTTTATTATTTGTTTTACATTAATGCAAAGCTCTTGTAAAGCTCATTTGAGTATGTCTGTATATAGAAATAGCTTTAATGAAAGTTCATGATTTAGCCCAAGCTTTTTGTTAGGGTTTATAGGAACCCAGGAGAACTTTTTTCTTACTTTTTTTTTTTTGTTTAATTTAATGTCCCTCAAGTGCCATGCATCTTTATTTTTTTGCATTTCAGTTCAAATTTGTTGAATAAAATATTCCCTGTTCCTTGTAGGTATCTGCACTGCATCAACTCCTTTTGTGCTTTTGGGGGATGTTCTGGATTGCCTCCCTTTGGATCAGTGTGACAAAATTTTCACTTTTGTGGAGAAAAATGTTGCTACATGGAAATCAGTAGGTATTTTTCCAAAATGTTATATAGTTTTGCCAAACCTTCTGTCTGCCTGACCCGTTTTTACAAATGGATTTTAACTGTCTTTGCATCTGACAGGTTAAGTGTCAGTAACTCTATAGGCAACACCTGAAAATCATTTCGCTTTCTCAGAGTTTTCCTAAGCTGCATTTTCTAACCAGGACTACTTCCCATAGTCATTAATTTAGGCTGCTTTGTTTCAGATAACATCGTGGCCCTTCATATTCACAAACTGTTCTTTATCATTAATTCAAGTATCTACCATTTTCTTTCTTCTGCTGCCAAATTACTAGTACTGTGAATGAAGTAGTGATTCAGTACTAGTACTGAATCTTTTGTGTGTGTGTTTTGCTTATTTGTATAATTAATACATGGAATAATAAAGGCAATGAGTGTAAAAATTAATGTGTTCCAGGAAAAAAACTGGATGCTCTTCTTACAGTTCATTGTCACATATGGTTTTTCTGTATGAAGGCTGGATTTAAATGTGTTTTATGTGACTGCTTATTTTATGCTGCCTTTTTGTGAAACCTGCCTGTTATCTAAGGGAAGACTTGAATTTAGAGTTATCAGTAGGAGTGACTCATATTTAGTCATAGCTTTTAATTGAATTAATATCTGCTCAAGAAGGTTCTAAATGTTCTAAAGGTTTTTAATGTTCTAAATACCTTTACTCTGTTTCAGAATACATTTTACTCTGCAGGGAAAAATTATTTGCTACGAATGTGCAATGGTGAGTTGTAGTTTTTCGGGGCATCGGGGAGGGAGAAGCAGAATTAAAGAACTTCCATTCTCAGCAAATGAAAGTGAATTTAATGATTCGATTTAAATTCAGATGTGTTCAATAAGTAATAAAGTTATAACTTGCATCACTCCACAGATATTCATGAGTCTTGCTAATTAACATAAAAGTCATTCTGGCCTCAGGGAACTCTTTCCATCAGTGGAGGTCATTATAGAAGAACAGGTTTCATTTGAACTTATATTTCATTGGTGTTAAAGGTGTTAGGAGGATTGGTAGAATGCATTTGGAAAAAATGTGTGATCTGAGAGAGTTACCAGCATTTAAATTTACAAATCTGAGCTTCCATTCATTAGCTCTGTGGGTCATGTAATTAACAAGGCTTGAATTCTATTGCATGAGAAATGAAAAAAGGAATAACTACTAATATCCTTTACTTTTTACAATATTTAGACCTCCTTAGAAGATTATCTAAGTCACAAAACACGGTCTTCTGTGGAAGAATTCAACTGTTCTTGGCTAGGTTATTTCCGCTTTCGGAAAAGTCAGGTGAGATTTTTTGTGTTGCATCACACTTAACATCTAAACAAGACTAAATATGCTCAGTCTTTTAAGTTTGTGATGATTGCAGACCAAATCCAGTTGGAGAAGATCACTTTGCACTTGTATCTTAGTTCTTGTCTCTGTCCTTGTTATTGTGACTTTCATTTGCTTTGGTTTCAAACACAAGCTTTGAATGCTTGTGAGAAGCTTGGAATACTGAGAATTTAGTGTCAACATCTCATAAACAATCAACTGAATTAACAGACTTGGGAATTTCAAAGCTTCTAAGACTGACCCTATGTTTTTCACAGGACTTAACCTGCAGAGTCAGTTTAACCTGGAAAATGTCACTGTTTTCAATACCAATGAACATGAGAGCACTCTGGGACAGAAGGTGAAAATTCCTATGTCATTTTTCACTCATTCTGCAGTAAACATGTAAGATTGTTTGCACAAAAACGTGCTACTCTGGTTAATGGTTGGGACTGTATGTTTGTCACTTGGTTGTCCCTCTTCCAGGCCGAGCTGTTGATCTGGGACATGGGCATGTTACCTGGTACATTAAACTGTGCACTTTGAGGGGAATAAGGTTGATTAGATTGTGAGCAAAAAGCAGTGTCACTTACTGTACAAAGTTTTCCCCACAGTGTACGGAGGATAGAGCAGTCCCTTCAGCTTTTTCCAGGAGAAGTCAGGCTGTCGTTGCAAAGTTTAGTAAGGTATTAAGACAAGAATTTGTTGCACATTATATGGTAATAGTACTTAAGAGATCTTTTGAGTTACAAGCTTAAGCTTTCTGATCTAAAGTGTAATAGTATGTTTATAAAAAAGAACACTGTGAGAACTGTATCCAAATTGTGGTGGTATTTCATAAGTTTTAAATTATTTTTTCCTGTTAGCACGCTGAGGAGAGAGAAGAAGGAATGGACGTAGAAGAAGGTGAAATGGGAGATGATGAAGCACCAACAAGTTGGTGAGTTTACAGAAATTTTAAAAATTTAAACGAAGCTTTATAAAGTGAAAGTGAAAAGCTGTTTGGGAAATATCTTTAGATGTTGTGGTCAGAATTCTCCTTACCTCCTGCCCTCTCAAGATTATTTAATCAGTTAAAGAGACCTGGCAGTGGTTTAACTGTTTAAGTGGAGTTGCCTAGAGGAGAAAAAAATGTACAGATTTGAAAATGTTGCATACCCCATCTTAGTACCACTCTGGTTTTGACAGTTTTCCAAATTCCCTTGACAACACTTGTGATAAGATGTATCCAGGGATTTTGAATACATGCTGTATATGCTTTTGGGAGAAAAGGCTGTACTCTTCTTCATTCCCCAGATAGTGAAAAATTCCTAGGATCCCTTTTTTGTACTATTTTTGCTTTTATGGTGAGAAAGTAGCAATAGACTGGATGGAAAACTCTTTTAGGGACAAATTCTAAGTTACAGATTTCTCTGTAAGGGTTCACTACAGACTCATTAATTCACTTCCAAAATGAATGATATTTTCTGGGCTTGTGCATTCCTGAATGGACTTGAATTTAGTATATCACTTTCAATATGTTTTTGTTTTTTTTCCCACAGTTCCATTCCAATAGATTATAACCTGTATAGAAAATTCTGGTCACTTCAGGATTATTTTAGGAATCCTGTGCAGTGCTATGAGAAGGTGTCATGGAAAACTTTCCTTAAGGTAATCTGAGTAGATGCTTTCAACCATTCAGCCTAAGTAAAAGTCATTGTTTATAGGGGTGGCAGAGTGACTGTGTAAGCACAGAACAGTTCAAAGGCCTTTGGAAAATGCCACTGAAAAATGATAGTGCATGAGGAAGTGCATTTTGCTGTTTTCTAAAGTGAGCCTTTGACTGTAAACAGTGTATTAAGATGTACAATAAACCCCCTAATATAACTTGTGTAAGTCAATAACAAAAAGACTTCACATGTTGCAACAGTGCCACAAGTACCTTTTTTGTGATTTATCAGCTGCAAAAAGCAGAACTTGAGGGTTTGGGTTTTTTTTTACTCTGAGCAGATAAATAGCCTATCTAGCTCTTACTTTTGAATAGTCATATTGATCCCAGTGGGATTCTGAATATTGGTTTCTAGTGAAGCAAATCTCTTTACAGAAGCAATGACTTGAATGTCCCCTTCAGCTAGCTGTTTCAGTTTTGCTTAGTATGAATATTGAGGATGATTTATTGCTAAGCTACTGTTCCTTCACAATTTGTCACTCAGTGTTTATTTAATAGCAAGAAGCCTAGGTTTTTTTAATCTTCATTTTCTGTGTTCTGATAATAAGAGGTGACATCTTTTCAGACATCCTGATATAAATCTAGTTAATGAGATCTACTACTAATGGGGTCAAAAAAAAAAAAAAACCAAACCACACAAAACCACCACATGTGCAGTTCAAAAACTGAAGAAGGCCAGTCTTAAGTCTTTCAGATGAAATTTTTTAATTAATGTAGCACTATCATCACATGAACCTTTTTTCTTCATGACATCTAAACAACAAAGCAGTTGTGCGCTGTTCACAACCCAAAATTGTGTTTCTTAGCATATTTTAAATATTCATATGATTAGATATTCTGATATGATAACACTTTCACTGTCATTTGTGTTCAGAAAGGTCCTACATTTTGGTAGCAAATGTGTTGTTTCAATGGGCTGGTAGCAAGTTTACAAATCATTTTACTTGCTTGGCATTAAGACTAGAGTAGTTCTCTAACTACAAAGGTTTTGTATGATTTTCATGTGGTAAATAACTCTGTTTCATAGTACTCAGAAGAAGTTTTGGCTGTGTTCAAAAGTTACAAGTTGGACGACACTCAGGCTTCCCGAAAAAAGTTGGAAGAACTAAAAACAGGAGGAGAACATGTATATTTTGCAAAGTTCCTAACTAGTGAAAAGGTATGTGATTACTCTTCTCAGAATCCCAGGCTAGTTGAGGTTGGAAGGAACCTGTGTCTAGTTCAGCCTCCCTGCTCAAAGCTCTCAGCTGGAGCAGTGGATCAGCACTGTGTCCAGTTGGGTTTTGAGTGACTCCACAGATAGAGACTCTGCAGTTTCTCTGAGTATCCCATTACACTGTTTGATCACTTTATTTAGATAGATATATTTTATTCTTTTTGGTTTGCCTCTTTTAATTAATGATTCAGGGACTTCTATTTGTGTAATAAGAGTCTGCAGTAAAGCTGACATTTGTTTATTGCATTTCATTTGTAATGGTGCACTTATAAAAAGAGGTTAAAACAGAGTAAATACTTAAAGATCTGTTTGTTGCCTTTAGAATTACATTTTCAAAACTTGTCTGATGTGCTAACTATATTTTCTGCTCCATAATGGTCCTGTTTAAAATTGCTTTCAAAAATATCTTGAGAGGGTTTTATTCTGTTACTGTAAATCCAAAATTACAGCGCTCTATTGAATTTAATCCTAAAATCGTTGTCTTCTTTTTGGAATACTATGTAACTTGAACTTTTAAATGCGTGCATTAGTAGATGACAGAAAGGGAATCTCGGTGCAGCATGAGTTTTTCTGGACTAGAAGAGTGAGTAAATTCATCATAGGTCTTTGACCTATATATTGACAATTTTTAAATAATGTGTTATAGAAGATACAGAACCTAATTAACACCCAATAGTCAAAGGCCTTTTTCTTCAATTGTTCACTTTGTATGATCTATCATGCTGCAACATACAGGATAGAAACCAAGCAGTGTGTCACTGTGCAAGCATTGATGAGAGTGAATACTTCTGTGGTAGCCAAATCCACATGTTGTAGTGAGTAGTGCATAGGAAAAGGGAATGAGCTGTCCTTCAGCTGCATGAAATATCTGAATATTTGTTTTTCCAAAATCTTGTTCACTTCCAAGTCAATGTTGTTAAATCCAGCACTATAAAATTGTTAAACAAAAATCTAGGGATACTTTTACAGGAAGTTCCTCATGCTTTCAAAAAAATGATTTAATTAGAAATTTTGATGCCCTTTCCTAAAGTGTGCTAGATGACAGTTTACCCATCTTAGTACCTAATGAAGGGCTGTCATGAAAGTACAGGTGATGCTGAATAGACTTATCATGATCTTGTTGTAAAAATAGTCCCCGTGGAGTTTATCAAAAACATTTGGTGTATTTTTACGCTTACGCATGTTTAGTCTCATTAATGTGTAATTCTTTTGTTGTGGTTGTTTAGCTGATGGATTTACAGTTGAGTGACAGTAACTTCCGGCGTCACATCTTGTTGCAGTACCTAATACTGTTTCAGTATCTAAAGGGACAGGTCAAATTTAAAAGGTAATGTAAAAATATTTCGTGTTTTGGGGATGGGGAACTAGAAACTTGGAGATAAACCAAAATAGAGTTTGTGTACTTGTTCTGAGGTTCTTGTGAAACTTGGAGCCTTGGATTGGTAAATACAGGGAGGAGACTGTCTTTGGCAGCAGCAAGTTGTTAGACCAGTGCAAGTTATCTGTGTGTGGCATCACTTTGAATTTATATTGACTCTGTAATGTGACATTGGTTGCTGATTTGTTTTTTCCTAGTGTGCTACACAATTCTAAATTAGCAAGAAATAACAATGGTGATTGTTGCTTTTATATATTCATACATACGTACATATATATATATATATATATAAGCATATATATGTTGCATTTATTTATATATAACAGGACAGAACCAAACCCTATATTTTCCTAATCTCAGTGTTATGCTGAAGAAAATTCTACGTCTCTTCATTTCCTGTGCCCTTGGCCATATGTGTGTATAATGATTGACATTATTAACAAAGCAGCTTTCTTTCACCTGCAGTATGCTGCTTTTTATAAATAGCTTCTAAAGAACTTTGTAAACTAGGTTAGGATCATCATCCTAATTCTATAGATTATTTACCAAGGCAGTCCAATGCCAGAGAAGGAATGGAATTCAGGTCTTCTGAATTGCAGTTCAGTCCTGTTAAGGTGACAGTCATTTCAATCACAGTTTATTAAAATGTTCATTAAAAGCAGTGATCAAGGATGGTATGAGATACAAATGGTGTGTATATATATATGTATGTAACATTTGGTGATATTTTTTTTTGAGGTAAGGCTTTTCATTGTCCCCATTTGCTGTGCTTTGGGTCCAACATCAAGGTGTGGTCTAGAATCACACAAATGGACTTCCTATTGGATGAATCTAAACCTTGACAGTAAATTCCCCAAGCAGAACTAATTAATTCCATAAATTCCATAATAAATGGACTAGACCAGAGCAAATTCAAAGCATTTTTTTTCAGATCCCCTCAGAAGGTATGTAGTGTAAATAATGTGTCCTCAACACTATTTTGATGTGTAGTAAACTCTTAAAATTAAAAAAAAAAGAACAAAACCCAGGTGATTTAATGACACTTTTTGGTGTGTTGTTTTGTTTTTCAATTCTAGTTCAAACTATGTTCTAACAGATGAACAGTCTCTTTGGATAGAAGATACTACAAAAGCAGTTTACCAGGTTGGTACAGTGTCTACTTATATAAAACTGGCATGGAAGAATATTTAGCATGTAATATTGTATCAGCCACCTTTGAAGCAGTAACCACCATTTTCTTTGGGCTTTTTTTCCTACACATTCTGCTATGGATATAATGCAAGAGGTTCACTTTTCTTTCTCCTATTCATAGCTTCTTTCAGAAAATCCTCCAGATGGGGAAAGGTTCTCAAAAATGGTAGAGGTAAGTACTTTAATGCCTGTCTGAACAAAGTCTGTTTAGCATATAAAAAAGCAGTTTCAGCTTGAACTAGCTTTTGGAACACAGGTGTTATATCTGCGAGAACTTCTGCCTCATCTCAGTAAAAAAAGGTCTCATCGTTTTATTTTGTAGTTGTATTTTTCCCATGCTTTCTTTAATGCTCTTTTCTTCCTTTTCCTGGAGAGAAATGGAAATATGCATATATATGCATGTGTACATACAGGAGAGATTGGTTATTAAAAATTAAGAAATCCTTGCAGACAGGAGTGCAGTGCCCAAATACATGGAAATAAGATAAAAGCGAAATTTAAAAAAAAAAGTTGTCTTCTTGCTTTCCTTTCTTTCTTTACTTTGACTGCATCTATTTTCTTGTTTAGACTAGGAGAAATAAAGCCTTTCCTGCAGTTATTGAAGAGAGGAGATATACCATTTTTGAATAAATTAAACCAGGTGTCAAAGATTATACTGATGACCTTCAAAAAAGTGACTGAAATACACAACCTATAACCAAAGTATTCCCCTTGATTTTAGTAGCTCAGTTAAAAACTTTGGAGTCAACTCCAAAACTGATTATGACTCTAATAATGTGCAATACTTTCTATGTTTCTCCAGCATATATTAAATACTGAAGAAAACTGGAACTCATGGAAAAATGAGGGCTGCCCAAGCTTTGTTAAAGAAAGGTAACTGTATTGCAAAGTAGAAGCTTTTTGCTGCTTGTTTGAAATGGTGGTTCCCTTCAAAATATGGTACCCATGGTTCATAGGAGTGCTAACCATTTGCAAAACTTTGAGATTTGTGTAGTTGCCTGTCCCTTCAGTGTGTGCAGAAGGCTCTTAGATTTCTGCCAAAAGTCTTAAGGCTTCCACTGTGTCAGGGAAGAAGTGGTTATGGATGTGTGGGCTCTCAGGAGTGCATTCCTCACTGTCTCATGGCAACACTTTGTTGTACTGAGGAGACTGGAGCAGGTTACGTCCCCTCCTGCTTTTGGCAGACCCCAGGCTGAAGAATTTAGTGCCTGACTTTCCCATATACCATTTTGGATTGCCTCTAATGAAACCTTTGGCGTTATGGCTGTGGCAGGGCAGCATACCTGGAGTTTGTGCAACAGTTCTCTTATGCCATTTATGTATTAAGTTTGCCAGTTGGTGGTGATCACTTACCTGAAAGGTAGTGACAAGTGGCTTCACCACTGAGAGGTTTCCTGTGTAGTTCATTGGTAACTAGTGGCAAAACTCCAGATGTCTGCTAGACTGTCTTGAGAGGGGTGATCAAACATCCATCTTCCATCCTTCTTCATTGTACACACAGACTGTAGCCTCTTTGTGGTAAGGAGCATCTGGGTCGTTATCTTTTGAAGATTTCCTGTTATTGGAGAGATCAGGTGCAGCCACCTCTTCATGACTTAAGCTGTTTGAAGAAAAAGGGAGGGAGACTGTGAGAAGAGAGAAATTACTGTTGCAGGGGGCTTGTGAGGAAGTACAACTATGAAATTTGACTTTTGTAAATATTCTCCTGTAGATCTTGTCCAGAGTTTCAGCTTGGGTAGGTCTTGCCCTAACCTCAGTGGTCTGGGATCTCCATTCTCTGATCCCATGAAATCAAGTGCAGCTGGGGAAAGAGACTTTGCAGTCATAGAGCAGATGATCCCAGGAGCAGAGTAGATCATACTTATATGTGCTGCTGGCACAAATGTGATTTCCTTCTTTTTCTGTACTGGGACTCTGATAGACCTTTGCATTTGTGAGTGAACTAATTTTGGTGTGTGGCAGATTCCTTTCCTTATCCTTACTTTGCCTTCTGTCTCCTCTTCCCTCCTGCCTCCTTCCACTGGAGACTCACAGTCCTTCTGATTACTTTTATTATGATTTAACTTAGCACCATCTGAAGGTGAAATGGATTTATTTTGCTCTCGGAATATTTGTGGTTTGATACTAAAGAGCATCCTTTTTTGTTTAGACCTCCTGATTCTAAACCAACAAGACCTGTGAGAAAGAGGCCAGCTCCAGAGGACTTCTTAGGAAAAGGATCAAACAAAAAAATCCTTATGGGGAAGTACGTTGGATTTTTTTTTTTTTCTTTACAGGGTTTCTGTGTTTGGGTTAGTTAGTTGGTTTTGGGTATTTTATGGGGTTTTTTTTCCACTCTTCATTTTTTTCTATACAGTAATTTTTAAACTTCCTTACTTTGGAACCACCGGGAAAGAACAGCTGAGGGATATATCATTCTTTTAAAACTTGCAATAGGGTTCCTTTCCTTATAGCTCTCTTGTAGATCCCTTTTAAACAGTGTGTAAGTGTGGAATGACAGAATGATGAATGTGGAGTTTAATGTGTGTTTGTGCTTCCCTTGTCAGCGAGGAACTGACCCGCCTTTGGAATTTATGTCCTGATAACATGGAAGCTTGTAAATCTGAGAGTAGGTAGGTAAAAAAATGGGTGTGTCATTGTCTAAACCTGACTTTAAGCACTTTAATTAGATAATTACAATTGTTACAAAATTAGGAAAAGGAAAGTATACAAGGTGATCTTAGGAGGTGTGTCATTTCACTGTGTCTTGAGAGAAGTTGGTTGTATGAATCTTTGTCTTGAAATCCCCTTACAGTTTTCTTTGCTTCTTCTAGTGTTTATGCTGTCAGTAATTTTCATTGCTTAGTAAAGTAAAATCTAAGCTAAAAACCAGATGAAAACTCCCGTTTTGTAGAGCACGACTGTATAATTAATTACCTTATATAATGAAGGAAGATTGCCAAGTCTGGCTCTAATGAAGTTAGCATGCTATTTGGCTATGATTTTCAAGTAGGCCTGTGCTTTGAACAATGCTAGATAAGAGGAAATTGGCTGGCAGGCATTGTTCCAGTGCATACCGGATCTACTCATGCTGCAGAGGTAGAAGAACACAATTATTGGTTGTCCCTTCTGCTTGCACAATTGTAGGAAATACTTAAAATGTACTCTGCTACCTAATTTTGTTACAGATAACAAAATCCCTTTCTGTGCTCACATAATACCTAGTAAGAAAATTTGGAAAAGGAATGGGACAGTTCCCAAAGAGAGCTCTTCTAGTAGTGGCTGTAAAGTCTGATTGCCTGCGGAGAGCTGCTAACTGTGCAGATGTCCTGAGTGGAGGAATTGCTTTTCCAGAGGTTTAGAGCTTTGCAGAGGAAGTGCTCTCCTTTCTTGTGAGCTGAGTTGTACAGGAAGGCCTCTGACAGGATACTTGTCTGTACTAGGCCAAGGGCTGAAGGTGAAGTTGTGTTTGAGTCCAAATCTTTTGATTCCCCATGCATGATTGTATTGTGCTACAATGTCTTTCCCTAAAAATAAAAAAAATTAAAAAACCTAAACAAATGGAGGTAAACCAAAAATGCATGCCATAGTAAACAGGAAAGAGAAAATCCCATGGGGTCTGGATTCAGTGCCAAGTTTTATTACAGACTTCATGACTGCATGTGGTCAAGTGAATGTAGCTTTTTGCTTTGGTTCCTCACATCTCCCTTCAAATGGGGTAATACTTCCTTTCCTGTCTTTTCAGATGGTTGTTTTGGGGATAACATAGCAGGACTCAAATCAGATGGGTTTTCAAGGTGCTGGCTTTAGTTCCAGTGATAGTGCTACACTTAAATCATGCATGGGGCACTGCTGCCCTGGGCAAAACACGTTTTTCAAAACCAAATTGAATTTATAGACCAGTGTGCTTTACCCCCTGCTCCAACTAATTACTAGAATCCCTTGCAGAAGTAGATGTATCTCTGTCAGCCTTAGGCAGCAGAAATACAGATCAGTATGAGCTTGCTTTGCACCTCTGAGAATTTTGGCTCACAGTAACCTACAGCTCTTATGTGTCTCTGGCCTTTAGCCTTCACAGCAGCAAACTGTCCTGATCGTTGGAAATATCATTTCTATTCTTTTTTTTAGGTCAGGGTTCCTTTTGTGCTGGTTTAAATACCTGTCAGAAGAAACCACAAGCTGTTCCAAGAGCAGATGGAACTGAAAGGGGGTTGGGGGGGATCGCCATGTTTTACTGATCCTGTCAAATCTCACAAAACTAACAACCATTTTAGACTCCTGAGCACTTGTGAGCTTTGTGAATGCTGTTGACAGATGTTGATGTCACCTTTTGGTATGGCAGAAGGTTTAAATGTATAATAACAGGCAGTGCTAGTGACTGCTGTTACACTGCAGTGGTTATTCAGTAAATAAATTTTATAGAAACATATCAAACAGAGTCTTTGCTAATTTGCAGTTGTTAAATTTGAATGGGTTGGTTTGAGGATTTTTTTTTTCTTCAGTGGATAAGCTTGAGATGTGTATGAAGGAACTGAAAACCAGCTATTTTATAGTAGATTGTGAAGCGTATTAAAGCTTCTTATTTAATTTTTTAGGGAATATATGCCAACGTTGGAGGAATTTTTTGAAGAAGCTATTGAACAAGCAGACCCTGAAAACATGGTTGAAAATAAGTATAAGTATGTTGATCTTCATGTTTCACTTGATTTTGATCTCTCATGTTTAGATTGTTAAAGAAAACAGACTGTTGTCGGCAATACTAATATCTGTGCAGGACTCCAGTAATGCACAAAAAATTTTTACATTTGGACAGAATTATATTAATTTCTAAATGTCTCAGATCTTTTTTTTTGTGCTTTTTTTAGATGCCAACCAAACTTGTGCTTTATTGTAGGGCTGTGAACAATTCTAACTATGGCTGGAGAGCACTGAGACTTCTGGCACGCAGAAGTCCCCACTTTTTCCAGCCAACAAACCAACAATTCAAGAGTTTACCTGAATATCTAGAAAACATGGTAATCAAATTAGCCAAGGAGCTGCCCGTAAGTAATATTATCCTATAATAATAAATTCTGAATTCATTTGACTTCCTGATTGTTCCTCTGCAGTTCATTTGGTACATGCGAACATAGAGGGGGAAAAAAAAAACAAACAGGAAAAAATTTTGTACACTAAAGTAAAAATTAGAAATAAAATTAGTGTAATCTGTGAAGATCCCAGTAACACTAAACTGAAAAACATTGAGTAACCAAGTAAGTGCTGAGCCCTGCCTTGTATTCTGTGGAAAAAAACCCAGCTGTGGCAATCCCGTTGGTAGGCAGGAATGTGTTTGTGCCCAGCTACTTGGGTTCTGAGTTGCAGTGCAAACCACGTTTATGGAAGGTCTAAGCCAGTGTTATGGCTCATGAATATACTGGGATGGCAGGAAAAGGGGCAGTGTGGGCAGCTGAAAGTACTGTGCTAAGTGTTACCAGAGCTTTACAGCAAGGTTTGCCAGAGCTCTTCTGTCAGCTCCCTGACTTTTAAAATATGTAAAATAAAAATAGGCCTTGTGAAGCTGTAAATTTAAGGCACTAATCCTTTCCGTGTTCAATAGTACAAATTTGAGTCCAGGGAGGGGCCTTTCAGATCATTTTATACACAGTGATATACACAGGCCAGCAGTGTGGAAAGAGGTGTTTTCTAAACCTTTGAGTTAGCACAAAACCCAGCAATTTCTTGCAGATATGAACTGCTGCCTCTGTATTGAGACCTTCCTTGTCTGTAATGGGAAAGTACTGAGGTGTAAAGGTTTGATTGCAGTATATAGGTTTCTTGTTTGTCCAGCCATCAGAGTTAACGGTATGCTAATAGCAGGTTTAGAAAAAATGCGGGGAGGGGAAATGTGTTGTGATTTGTTTAATGCATTAAGATGTCAGCGTATGCAATATTCCTGATGGTGTTACTGTCATGTACCAAATATTATGGCAAGAAGCACATAAGGCCTATGGCTGAAATGTAGAAAAAGAGGAAACTATTTTACTGATGAGTAGCTAAATCAGAGACTGAAAAGTTTCTTGTTTGCATATTTGTTTGCCACCTTCCAGAGGTTTGAAAGTATCAAAACTTTGGGGAATTCTCAAGTGAGGAATAAAATTGGTGAAGAATAGTTTTTTTAAAAAAACATGTTCATCAGTAGTGGCCTCCAAGTTTGTTGCTTGGGTTTTTTTAAGCAAGTAAGTAATAAAGCTCACTATGTAATGCTTAGTTTTGTTATCCTGTGAAGTCAGTGAATACTTTTATTAGGTTTTTTAGTTAGAAATATCTTTTATTAGAGCATTTGTTACTGGTGTTTTGGATGCAGGAGACTGTGGGGTAATTTTTAATTCTCATGTGGGATCATGTCAGGTTTTCCATTCTAACACACATCTCAGAGACAACCAGAGAGCTGTAAAATTTCTCTAATACAAAATTCATCCAGTGATGTTTAGTTCTTTCATTGTAGCCTCCTTCTGAAGAAATAAAAACAGGCGAAGATGAAGATGAGGAAGATAATGATGCTTTATTGAAGGAAAACAATGAAAGTAAGAGCATGCAAATGCAATGTTTTCAGTCTTTTCAGTTTTTCTCTTGATGTATATTGTAGAAGCTGTGTTTAAACATAGTTTCTACTGAGGGCCCCATTGCTTCTGACTTGAACCAGCATTCGTACCAAAAAGTGCAGCCTTTTCAGGACACGGGGCACCAGTAGCAACCTCCCAGGCTCGTGGCCTGCAGTGCTGAAAGCATCCAACTTGTTGCATTAGCAGTTTGATTAGGAGCCTCTTTCACCTCTTCTGCTATGTGGTGTGTGTTTACATTGTCAATAGGTGTTTACAGCTGAAATGCCAGTATTGCTGTGTAAAAGCCTACCTGAGCACTCCTTTCCTCTCTTTCCTGTTCTCTCTGCCCTCTAATTGCCAGGCTAACTGCTTCCCTATAGTCCCTGTTGGGGTGGGTAGTTATGGGACTTTCAAAAATGGATATATTCCAACTCTGAGTTCTTTACTTCCTCTTCATTTAAAATATCTCAAAGGCAAAAGCTTCTCTGTGAGAAGAGCAATCTTCCTAACAGATATCATCCCTTGCTCATTCCCCTTCACGAACCATTCCGTTTGTCTCTTGCCTGTAACCTTGGTATGTCTTGCTCCCAGGTGTCCTTCTCCATCTCCTTTGTCTGTAAATCTGCCCTTTTCCATCCTCATTCATGCCTTCATCTCACAACACCTTCTCCCTTGCGTGTTGTAATTTCATGTGCCAGCTCCTGGATCCAGCGTGGGCAGGTGGGATATGCAGGTCGTGGAAACCAAACACTGGGTACCTCTGGCAGTTTTGTTGAAGGCTTTTTCCTGTTAGTGGAAAACCTTTGGGCCTCTGTGAATCTCTGTTCTGTTGCCCTTTTCCATCCAGCACTTGACCTTTTCCACAGTCTCCTTGCCAATAGTAGAGAAGTTCTCTTTAGCTTAATGCTAATTAACACAGCCTTGGTGGTGTCACTGTGTGGGATTTACATCTTTCTTTCAATATTGTCTTAAAGCAAAGATGGCAGAGCTGTGGTCTGCTGTACACCACTGTGCTTAGACTTAAGAGAAGTCATCTGAGGGCTTTTGTTGTCCGGGATCTTCCATCTTTTCCCCTTGATGTAGTGACTTGAGTTCAGATAAATGAGTGTGACTGATAAGTACTGGACAGAATTGAAACTTCTGCTCCATGCCAGCTGGCTCTTCAGGTGGCACAAGGGTGAGATATTTAATAAAAATTAAGAATATGATTAATTTCTATATGTAAGTAATTCAGTCTTTGGGTTTTTTCTTTAAAACTGTGAAATAAACACAGGTGGTAAGCCACAGATTGCAGACCATGATAAGCTATGAATGTGCAAACCCACCTGTGTAATCACTGCAGCACTTGGCTTTTCAGCAGAGCATAGTATTCCATGATTTTTATCTCAATGCCAGAATGACAGAAAATTCCTTAAAGTACTAACTACACACTAAAGTTACTGTTACAGTCCTCCTGCCAATAGGAACATGAGAAAAAAGGGAGGGAAATGGGGTTTTTTACCTAGGTTAACTTTGACTAAAGTGACTAAAAAGTTCCAGAAGACAAATAGTAAAGATTGCTCTGTATTTTAATGTTATAGTTGACTTGTGTTGAGTACTGTAGTCTGCCTGTAAAAATTTGTGTTTTCGTTTGGAGGAAGTAGTTCTGATGTAGCAATTCTCTCTCAGTATAACAGGAGATAACACAAAAAGCAAGATTTTCTTTATCACAGGCAATAAGGGACATTCCTCTTGAAACCCAGGTAATAATACATCTGTAAAAACCTGCTCTCGGAGCTCGAATAGGTTTTAACAACCACAGGAAAGGCCCGAGTCAGTCTGTCAGTAAATAAACAGAAAATTTATACTGGGGCAGATCAGGGTAGATTAATTTGCAGTGTCTGGACATGTTCCATATGTCTGACTGATTCCTTCTCTTTTTCCTCCAGGTCCAGAGGTACAACGGGACAAAGCCATGACGGGCGAACAGATTGAGTTATTTGCGAATAGGCTTGGGGAGCAGTGGAAGGCCTTGGCCCCCTACTTGGAAATGAAGGATTCTGATATCCGGCAGATTGAGTTGGACAGCGAGGATGTGAAGATGAGAGCTAAGCAGCTGCTGGTGGCCTGGCAGGATCAGGAGGGTGCACATGCAACTCCTGATAACCTGATCACGGCGCTGACCAAAGCTGGGCTAAGTGACCTTGCCGAAAGCCTGACCAACGATACCGAAGGCAGCAGCTAACTCGCTTCAGCTGCCCAACTTGCTCTTTGACTTGGGGGGCTGGGGGTGTCATTAATTGTGACTGTTCTGGTGGTTGTCATTGATAATTGTTACTATTGTTGCTAGGTAACAGATTTTTGATAGGTATTTTTTGTTCAGGAAATGATAAAGCTTTTTAATAATACTGTAGGATTGTCCGGATTTTCTGAGAAAAGGATTAGTCATCCCAATCCATAACTGGGAAGCTTTGTCTTCGGTGGTGGAAACATAAAAGGGAGGATGGAGAAGCAGCTTTCAGTGCAGGCTGCGGGAGGGTTTGGCACCAGCAGAGCTCAAGTCGCTCCCGTTGGACAGAGCAGCCTCTCCAAGTGCCTCTGCCTTTGCGTGGTTTCTCAGAGCAGGGTGGGACTGTGTGTCAGGGACTTCTGAGTCACCCTTTGGGTGATGGGGAACTGCAGACTATCAAAACATACCTGTTATAGGTAAAATAAGAGGGTAGTGATGGAACTCCAAGTCACAGCATTGACTTCCAGTGAAGTGCTGTTGTCCCACTTGCCCGCTGAAGAACTGGTTCTGTCTGAACCTTAATTAGGTGATCGAGAGGTTCCATGCTTATTTTTATTAGTGATTATTTTTAGCCTCTCCATGTGTTTGGCTATGTAGGAACTCCCCTGAGTCATGGGGAACATGGTAACTTTTTGTCCCAGGTTACTGTGAAGTGACAGTTTCATTTTAAGGACATGGCTGTCTGTAGATGAGTACAAGCCGTTTTCCCTCAACGAGTGGGAGATTTTTGTAGTATCAAGTGGCAGCTGGCTACAACTTGTTCTGTGGGTATTTCTTGTAGTGTTTCTGCCATTCACCGACATCTCTCTGATTTATGAGTGTTTGGCAGACTACATACCACTGAACTCCTCTCTGTATTGTTTCAGCTATTAAATCACAGCTGTGAATTTCTAGGGTGGTGAGATGCCACCTCAGAAGCGAGTTCCTGTCTGCAGTGCCATTGATGAGAGCTTTGTGCCTGCTGCCCCACTTCGGATTTAAATGTGTTAGGAATGTGAATGCTGGGTCCTGGGGTGAAGGTTAGTAGGGGCCAAGATACAGGAGTTATTGGAAATAATGGCCCGTCTTGCCTCCCGCTGCAGGTACAGTTTGGTAGAATCTACATCATGTAACAGTTTCACTTGGTTAATTTTAAGGCAGAGAAGAACCACCTGTGAAGGCCACAGCTGATGCCACTGTCCCCAGGGAAGGATAAAAGAGGGGCCCCCTCCTAGCAAGTGAGGCACAGGCAAACTCAGCCCTATAACAACAAAAGTGAAGGTATTTCATATGAATATGGACCAGCTGTCCCAGAAGAGACTGGGACACATCAACACTGGGTGAGTGTGGTGATGGCCTTGATAGTGCTTTTCTTGATTGTGTTGGCTGTTTCTTTTACTGCAGTCACACTGACTCACAGTTAGTTACTAAAGAAGTTCTTGTAAGTAAGCAAAGTCCAGTTTTGCAGCCACCACACTGGACTCAGCTACTGAGTAAAGAGTAACAGGACAGGAGAAGCAGCCCTACAGCTTAAAAAAAAGTGGCTTTATTCCTTGACTGCTTTGAGACATTCATCAGTGGTGGCCCAAGAAGTGAAAACAAACACATACTGTCTACACTACCAGGACAGGAACTGTTTTTAATGGAGACACATTGCTGATCACAATTTATTTTGAAATCATGAGATGCCAGCAACAGAACAGACTGAATCAGCAGGTCAGGCTGGACAAATACTTGATTGTAGCCACAGCTGTTGGCTACGGGCAGCAGCACTGAGTTACACAACAAGGCAACGGTTCCTCTTCTACCTTCCTAACAAAACTGCCAGGTAAGGCAAAGGATGGACAGCTACTGAATTGTGGTATAAACCATGCAAGAGTAACAAATGTGAGAGTAGGTGTGTAATAAATACTTGATGACATTAGAGAAGGAGGAGAGGCTCATTTAAAAAAAAAATTATCTTCTGCAAGACATTAAAGCTATTTTAAGTATTGTCACCACCACAATTGGCAGTCCAGTCCAGTAGTGACTAATTGGTACATGGATCAGTTTTAAAACAATATCCCTCTTCACATGAAAAGGTTTGAACAAATTATGTATCCACTTGCTAAAGCTCTGGGGTTAAAGAAGTGATCAGTAATCAACATTTATTTCACACCTAGGCAGAATGACTAAAACGGAAGACTACTGTTCAGCTTCATCTTCAACCACTTCAATTCTGCGAGGCCCGTAGAGTAGAACATAAGCTATATGCCAGTCTCCACCCCCAGATAACCTCAAAATATCTTCAGGTGTAACAATGCTGACTTTGTCATCATCAAATTTAATCCATTCATCTGCAAGAAAAACAAGAGGATTATCTGTACATAAAATCTAAGCTTGCTTAACAGCCTCTTCAATGGAAGGAGCTGTGAAGGGTGGTCAGTGCTGCAATTTGTTAATTTTTTTTACCTTGTTTCCTTTTAACCCAAGACACATAATGCCCAGAGGAACTTGATCTGCCTTGATGTGTTAGCACTGCCTGCAGGTCATAATAGCCGCAATTGTTAGAACCAATATCTGAGGGAAGAGGAGGGGGGAAAAAAGTTATGTCGAGTCCTAGTTGAACAGCTGCAGTATTTTGAGCAGCTTGCAGACCCAAGACACATTAACCATGCTGCAGCACTGTAGTTGAGTAAAACCCCATGTACAGGACAGTACAAAACCCCTGTGAACTAAAAGCAGCAGCTCTCAGCCAGGAGAGTCTCTCAGGAAACCCAGGATGTTGTGTGTTCTCATGAAATAAACATGTATCCATAAACATGACTGATGTAATGCAAAGGGGGAATATTTCGGGCCTTCAATCTCCAAGCCCCCCAAAACTGAGGCAGCACCAGCACAACCACAACACTTCTACAAGTCCAGTTTAAGTTTTTGTTTTGATTTCAGCTTTCTACCACCCACTGACAAGGCAGAGAGCAAAACAACTGCACATTACATGCAAATGTCTTTTGATGTGCATGTCTTCTATTATCAGCAGCCTGTCAGATGGATGGCAATTATGCCTTTGACTATCTCAACGTTCTGGCTCACCCAATCGTTCCATTCTTTAAATTTCTGTCAGTTTCTGAAGAATAATTTTCAAAGGCATTAAAAGGAGCCAGGGTTCCCAAAATACTCCTACACACTTAAATGCAAGTGAACAGAAAGTTACTTTAAAGTAGATTTGCTACCCTGTACTCACCATCAGGAAAAGAAAATGGTTCATATTTAACTTCTTTCTGTGCACCATCACTTTTACTAGACTAAAAAACAGAATATGCTGAATTAATGTGGAATGCTTTAATAAAAGCTTTAGCACAATTGTATCAAATTCCAACTCTCCATTGATTTAAACATGTTTCTAAGTCTAAACATTTTTTGTTCAACTTGAAATGAGTGCCATTACTGTACTTTTTAGGTGGACATTAAAAAGCCTTATCTAAGCAAGACCAGTTTTAAAGCAAATATATAACCATTTTAGCATGTATTGCCTACACTGTTCAGCCACCAGATTTATGGGTTTGTTTATGAAACAATTCTGCAGCTGAAGATTGATTCCTTGTTAGGGGCCTGCTGGCAGCAGAAGTGCCAATACAAAAATACCAGAGACAGACTCTACGTGCCAATACATTTTGTTTGAAAAACCACTTTTTCCTTGCTCCCATCTGTGCAAGAGGAGATGCAAGCCTTACCCAAATGTTTAAATGAATTTGCCAGGAGTTAAGCCAGGAAAAGACTAGCAAACTTTAAAAAAATGGTTAAAGCACTACACTTTTAGCTCATTCACTTTTTTTTTCATTCAAGACAGAGAGGTCAGTTTTAGAACATGTACATAGGATAGGACATGAAACCATTTACCAGGTTTTCAGAGTACTAATTTTAAGCTCAATGGTACGTATATTCTAAATTTTATCAGTCAGACACGTAGCAGTCCCTTGTACAACCCTTTCCAGCTGGTGTGCAGGGGACAGCTTCCTACACGGCACTTCAAAAGTGACCAGCCAGCAAGCAGTAAAATTTGAAGAGAATAATTTTTTGTAATTCACAGAAAAACTTTAGGCATAGCCCTGGTAAGCAGAAGCACTACATTTTAATACATTAAATAAATGCTGTCTGTCCACAGCATTTAACATTTCTCATCAAGCAATTATACCAAAGCAGATCTTGTATTTTCATGAAGATGCATGATGAAGAGATCTAAAGCTCAATACAAACATAACACATAAGAAAATAATATCTTTAAAGATGTCAAGTTTTCTCTAGTCCTTATTAGTACCCCAATTTCAGATGTATGATTTAATTACAATGTCAGGAGACTTACATTCTTTGGCTGTTGATTTACTTTTTTGTCTTCTAGATCTTTGAATTTTGATCGATAAGAAACCATTTTTTCCTGAAGGTCTGGCGTACACAGCTCATACACATCCAACATAAGAGGAAATTTAACATCCTAGGAAGTAAAGAGCATAAAGACTTATTAGCATAATTTGGTACTCCACATTAAAGCATTCTCCCATGGGAAGACCACAATAAGTCAAATTAAATGCAACTCTCTTCACATTTATGGCAACCTGCTCTACAGTACTTGCCTAAAGGGCTACAGTGCCACCACAGCAGAATGTCTAATTCAGTATAAACAAACCACCATAAATTACTACATTCAGTATACATTAATACTTAATAAATCAGATTCTTTACTGTTAACTGTCCTACTTCTACACTACAGAAATACTTATGGAGGGTAAAGAAAAAAAAAGGCATGTAGAATGACTGTACACTTGCAAAAAGTGTCAGTATTTTCTATCCAAACAATCCTCTAAAATTCAATCTTTATTTCCTTTCCTCCTCTTGTAAGAAAGGAGCATCTATCATGATGCTCCCTGGGCAGCCTACGAGGTCTCTCAGCCAAGGCCAACAGAAAACAAAACTGGAACATTTGCCTGTTTGCAGCTGGTTCCTGTATTTGTCCATCAGAAAGCCAAACAATTAAAGTAACTAAGACAGGAAGTGTTTGACAGCATAAACATTTTTCATCAACTTACTCTCAACAACTGAAAGCATGGCCCTCTCCTTAATTAAATATTCTCCTCTGAACCACTGGTGAAAAGACACCAAAAGACATCCTAACAGCACTGGGGCAAATTCACTCCTGCATCTCACCTCCTCCCTCAGTCTGACAGTGTAGTTTGCCACACACCATCACAACTGGGACAAAGCTACTTTGTTAATATTTTTAAATGCAATTTAAAAGCAAACAATTTAGTAAATACTCTTAAAGTACTAGTCACCTGCTTACAATAAAAAAACTCACAGAAAAGTACAAAGAAGATTTAAACTTCAGTACATAAAAAACTTACCTTAAGAACTTTGGCATTCACAGATTCTTTTTCTTTGTAAAAAAATCTGACCATCTGAATAGTCAGGTACGCTGGCAAGCGACTAATTTTGGACTACAAAAAAACAAATTAGAAAAAGCTATTACTTTTGGTATTCACAGATCTTAAGCACTACAGCCTATTATGGGAACATATTTGTACACAAACCCATAGGAATACAACAAGGTCTCCTGTTCTGAAGCTCTGTATAGAACTGTACTCAAAGAAATAATTTTCAACTGGTCTTAAGTTTCTTGGTAGTGGATATTCAGATGCTTTATAAACATAAATCACATGTTGTTGCAGCAATGACTTTGTGTTTTGGGACAGCAAATTGACAAAATTTAAAGGAATTACAGAGAGAAACAGAAGTACCACTCACAGATTTGATATAGAGTGCATTTCTCTGCAGCGTTGGAGAGAGTTTGGTGATTTCCTCCTGAAGACGCTGTTTAAAGAAAAACAAGTAATACATGTTCATCATAAAACACAGCTTAAAGAAAAGCACAACAGGGGTAAACAAACCATGAACTAAATCTTGTTCTGCCAGTCTCTTGTGTTGCTATCAGCCATTATGAAACACAGGATTTTGAAATTCCTTGGCCGAAAGACCATGTCCATTCATTCCTTCAGCTCCAGGCTCATTCCTGAGCCCTGACAACACTAAGTTTCTGTCCGCAGAAAATTTTACTCTACAGGAATAGAACAATAGAATTTGGTTATGAACTGTATCTGGATTTGGTTACAAATGTATTGTGGCATGGTTGTAACAACTAAAGAAAATCTGAAGTTTCTTGTGATGAGAATATTTGCACATTTCTCAGCTCTGTCTCAGACAGAGCTGCATATAAGGAGACAGCTGGTGTCTCCTTATAAAAATCAGGGAAAGACCAGCCTGGTTCTTAGTGTTGCAACTCTCTTGCTGCAGGCAATCCAGCATAAGAATTCTAGATTTTTTGACCTAAAAGTGAAGTTTCTTTTTTCATAATCTTTTTAATTTGTGAGCATTAGCTATTTTATCTTATTTTTTCTTCTAAATTCTGTCAAAACAAAGAAAAAGAAAAAGCAGATACAAAGATTTTCTGAGAACCATGCAACTTGGTTTTAGTCAAGTACAAACCAGACCACTGTCCTGACCTTATACAAGTACTCCTCTCCTTGCTACTTCAGACTCTCTATGTTTGGAGAGCCCATAGAATTTCAAAATATATATATACACAGATACATGTGAAGCACAGACTACTTTACTTTAAGAAGTTCTACTTAAAGTTTAAAGATGATGTTGTCTCATGGAAAACAACACCTCCTTCAAAATCAAATTTAAGTTTAATTGTTCCATCATCTGGGTTTTTTTTATCTGAGCAACCAAAGTGCCACACTACTTTAAAGTTGACTTTTAGATTTTTTGGGAAGCAACTACTGCATACTTAAATCATGATAGTGTTCAGTCTAGAGTGAAAGCCAGCTGAACAAAGAAGTAGCAAACTGTCCTGCACTTGGTTACCTGCATGGGGAAGACCATGTCAGGGTCAAGAAAATGCTCTGTTGAAGTCTACTTGACATTTAACATGCAATTCATTTCCCAGCCAGCTTCCCACTGAACACCAAAAAGATTCTTGAAACTTTGTAAAGCTTGGAGAGCAGATGTCAATTCCAAGTCACAGATTAAAAACAGAGGTGATCTAGAATTTCAATTAAATAAAAGTTGCAATGGCTTACCAATTTTAGTCCTGTAAACAAATATTTCACTTCTTGATTGATAAAACAGCTAAGCTGAAGCAGATTCTCCTTTCCTTTAGTTACTTCCTCTTCTTCGGCTTCTGTACATTTCATGCTTCACAAAATTAAGGAAAACCATCATGCACCAAGAGCTGAACTACTAGTCTGGTGAAAACAGTGCAGTAATTTAAGGGAATTCTGTACTTGTGCATGGATACTAGTGTAAAAAAGATTTGAAAGAGCCGTTCCTTCTAACCAATCTGTTCCTTCGTGGCTAATGGCAAGGGGCATCCGAGGCAGACAGCATACCAAAAAAAGTAAAATAAGTCTTTGATCACCATTTAAGCTGAGGCCTGCTTTGCTCTTTCTTCTCCACCCCACCACCCAACCCCCACGACACAAAACATACCAACTGGCTGCCAACACCAACTCAGAGCAACATTATACTCCATTGCTGTTTATAATTTAATAAAATTCTCCTCTTCCTGCTCCTAGACAGACTTCTCCTTTCTTTCAACATGCACAGCCTCCTTTCCCTGCTTTATATCTGTCCTCTTCACTGAAATAAAGTCCATTCTTTCATTGTTTTCTACGCATTCTTCTAACTGTTCTGTCTGTCCTCTCTTTTCATACTTCTACCCCTATCCTTTTCTCTCATCCACCTCTTTCCAACTACCTATTTTTCTGACTGCACCTATTCTACAAACGTTGCCACAATCACACTTTGAAGGTTTGCAACAGCCCTTTTCAAACAAGCCTCTTCCTCTTGCTACTGCTTAGGCATCATTACTCTTAGCTACGTATTCTGCAACTCCAGCTATTTCAAGGATAACAAACATCGCGATACAGGGAGAGAGATGTGTGACTCTTACCTTATAAAAGGCCTTTATTCTTCATTACTACCAAGCTATGAGATACAGCACCTCACCTAAGGGGATGCTTCCTTATTTCAGACAAGTGAAATGCACAGTGTAATTCTTTGTAAAGTGGTGCTCGGTTTCATGACAGCCAGGATTTTGGGGTGGAGAAATGGGAAAAGGGTAATACTTGCCGTGAGATGTGTGCCCCATGTGGCCATATACTTTTTGTTCTTGCTGTAAAGAAGCTACTACAAAGCTGTCAGCTGCATTTGTTTCTTACTCATCTAAGAGCGGACATCTAATTTATTTCTTAAGAAATCAATCACACTACCTTTTGTGCATGTTTAGTACGACAAGTACTAAACACAGCAACACACCCCTACAAGCCAAAAAAGGGCTATTTAGAACAATAACTACTTTCATTTGGATAAAAAAATGTCAGCATCCTCCAATTTGACGAGTGCCAATCTTCTCTGGGGAAGAAACCTGCTATTTAAAGTCCACGAGTTTTTTTCTGTAAATTTCCATTACCGTTCTTCCTCCCCACATCATCCTCTCTATCGAAGTATATCCGATCTTAACTTCAACTTCTGTGTACTCCTGCACGACATCACTCCCCCTCTTCCACAACACACACCTTAATTTTTTATACTATTCTGAACAATGCTTTTCATCCCTGAACTCAACTGATAAAGTGTGAAATTGCTGTTCATTGTGTCTTGCCTTTATCTTTAGGATACGCTGTTTCAAATTCAATGCTGAAGAACTGATCAATTAAACTCTTCTTTTTAGAAGATGCTGCTGTAGCCCCAGAGTCTGTCTGTAAAACAAATTCTCTTATGATATAACTTGAAATAGCATGTAAATACAGTCTTCTCTACAGACAAAATAACCTCATTTATTTAAATTCTTTAAGCCTATTCCTTAGTCTTTCTATAGGTGCATTTTTTCCTAGTCAGTCAATCTTTTTACTTAGCATAAAGGTTTCAAAATCAATGTGCTTATAGCATGCTACTAAAACCACATCAAAGCACATTAGCAAGCAAGGTTTCAATCAAAAACCCACACCTCCCTCCCCCATTTAAATCTATCTTAAATTTCAGGGTAGTTTATCAGATTTTTGCCATTGCCAACAGTTTACAGAGAAAGAAGAGAGCTGGTCTGGTAAAATCTTGGGGAGAAAACTTTAGGCAATTTTTTTATCAGGTTGATTTGGTTAGTTGTCTGCTTCAAATAGTTTAAGTTAAAACTGCAGCACACTTTTTTAGAGATAAAAAGTTCTTATGCACTGAATTCACAAGTAATCAGGGCCAGCTGCCATGCATGTGAGTATGTCACCACCAGCTTGGTCCAACACATGCCTTACAAAGCCCAGAGTGAAGGCATCCCTTCAGTACACTCCACAGCATGGCTGACATGATGTAGGTAGCACTATGCTGACCAAACACATCAGAAAGCAATTTCACTGATTGGACTACATGTTAAAGAATTCACTAACAGATAATACATGGCAAAAAAACATGTGAAATATTAAAAATCTAGCTGGTTAGAGTAAGACTACAATTACCTCCATAACTGTATCACTTTCTATGCCTTCCAGTTTCTGTTGTAGCACCCTCATCATCTGCACCCAGCACTCATTGGCATCCTAGGAAGAGAACATAACATTACACCTGACTAGTAGCATTATGATTCAGTAATATTAAACCCATCAACCTTTATTCTATTAAAAAAAAAATTGTAAGGATTCCTTAAGTAAGAGTTTCTCCCTAATTCCACCATGCATTTTCAGAGCTAGAAATTGATACTATGTTCAACTTTTCCACGCTACAAAAAGACACTTTACTGGGATAAATTATTTTCACAAGAGAAGGGAAGTTTTAAAATATTCTTGTTCCCAACTTCCAACATAGTATAGAATTTTTAAACAATAAGCTAATAATCGGTCTTTACCTGTTGAAGGTACTGGCCTTGATCCCCTTTCTCTGCAAACTGTGGGAAGGCCATATGTAAAAACTGCAGGAGAATGATAGGTGGAATACTGGAGGAAGTTTTATCCATGGAATCAAACAAGTCTCTAAGAGCTTGAAGAAAAAGTAAGTGAATGCTTTGAGAAGTGCAAAAACAATTCAAACACGGCAGGAAGTGCAAAAAGAATAGTAAACCAGCAACAACATTTAAAGACAAATCATTAAACAGTGTCCAATTTGATCTTTCCAAAGTAGAATCAAGTTTTCCAGGTGGCATAACAGCTGCACCTAAGACCTCATTTGTGAGCATGACTTTGCAACCATAAAGATGACAATTCTGAAAGTTCAGCACATAATGTCTTGTCTTTCCTGGCTGCTAACAGAAAATAAAATAAATTTTTTGAGCAATTAAGATTTCATTTGAAACACATTTGAGGAACAAGAGGACTACACCTAGAGAAACCAGAAGGCATTCACAATCCATCCTCTAGAGTAACAAGTTTCACCAACTACTGGGAAAAAACCTTTCATTTTTCCCAACTAAAATATCTAGGAAATACTCATGCTTAAGACTCAGGAAAACAAGTATGTGTATGCATATGTGCAGACAGCTCATAACTATGTGCAAACCAACAAATGATACTGACTGCATGACAACACACATGGCTTTCTTTTTTGCTCCACACCCTACCACCTATATCTTATCTACCCAGGCTACAGCATTTTAAATCCACAGGTCACTTCGGAGACCTGTTAATCCTCACAACAACCCTGTGAGGTAGGCAACAGTCTGCATGGTCACTAATTTACAAATGGAGACACTAATGAATGGTACTCTTGAGTAAGTGAACAAAGGCAAGATTACAAGGAACCAAGGTCAGTTGCTTCCTCTCTTTCAGAAGTATCTTCACTGACCTTGATAAAAGGTGTAACTGATATGACACAGCAATTAAAAAAAAAATGCCACAAGTGTCATGCAGGAGTTCCTGAACAGCTCAGCACCCAAGAATTAACTACAAATTACTTAAACTATTAAAAAAAAAAAAAAACAAACTAAGAAGCAGAGCTGTCACCTTAAAAAGAAAACAAGGGACACGAAGTAAAGGCAGTTAAAAGGGGAGGGGCAGGCATGGCTGTATAGAGTAACCATTGAACTTACCACCCCAAAATTCGATCAGCAGGCATACCCACAAACTGGACCTTTCCTTCCTTATATTGTTTTGTTATTCCTTAAATGGACTGGTAGAAATCCCAGTGTCCTGGCCCAGCATCTTAGTGGGGCAATGAAATAGAGTAAAAAAAGAAAAAGCGGACAAGTAGTACCCTTGTTCAAGTGTAAGGGGTCTAACTAGAATTCTAGTTAGAACTTGAGATACGGGGCCATCGTGAGCTCCCATGTTGTGAGCACCCAGATCACCAAAACAAAGAATAATTCTCATTTTGAAGACACTACTTTCCATTAAGCGGAACAAAGAACAGCACACTAAAATATTTCTAGCAAAATGATCAAATCAACCAATGGATGGATGGAGTCTGCTTTAGGAAGTTCCAATTACTCTATGCCTACATGTGAAACAGTTAAAAGATACAAATTATTTCTATCTAAGCCTAGACCACACTTGAATCTTTTCCCCAGAGTGCAGCTGGGCAATATGTAGAGATACACGCTTTCCAGGCAGGGGCAGAATAACCCTTAAAGGCAAAAGGAATCCTCCAATGCTAGCAGATCTTTAATTCCTAAGGCATATGTACCAAAGAACAATACACAGGGTTCTAAGTGCAAATTTCATCTGCAGTTAGCAGGAAATCACACACTAGTTTAAAACCCTGTTTTCTACTCTAAACACTAACCTGCAGTAATGTATTGAGCAGAGGCCATTTCTCCTGAAGCTCTTAAGGCACCACCATACCTAAAGGAGAAGAAAAATAATTTACATGCAATTAAACACAATTAACAAGAGCAGTTGGGTTTTTAGATCACGAAGCAGGCAGCTGCTAGATTTATTTAAATATATCAAAGGAAATCAATCACCAAACCAGAAGTAACTGAAGGTAAGATTTACTCACATTCACCTCAAAGTCTCAGATATTTTGCAAGCATTGCATGGAAGCAAAGGAAAACTGGCATCCTTCAGACAATAAATAAAGGCAGACCAAGAAGTCTGGATACATCACTGCTACTTCCCTAATCCATTTGCCTCAAAGACTTGATTTCTCAGTTTCTTTAAAAATAAAAAGTCTAAATAAAAGCTACCCTATTTCTGAAACATGTATCCTTCAGATACATGGAAAAAAGCCACTTTTGAGGATAGATGGCAGATATGATGCACAGAGATGGAAGGCAGGTTTGCTTCCTCCCTGCACAGCAGAAGCAAAACACTGAGAGGTGCAATGTTTCCTTGGGGAGAAATTTCCTACATTGGAGAGGCATGGGAGTCCACCCACATTACTAGAACTTACCGCTCTTCTTTGAAAGAATTCTTAATTTAGCAGCTGGATGAGGAACAGATGGACTCCTCAAAGCATATAAGCTGTTGAGCAAAAAGGAGGGTCTCACACACTCTCCAATCTTAGACTGCACTTTTAAAATTCTGACAATTGGTAGATGATGAGCAGGAAACTTTCCCTGACATGCTACAAAACATGGAGACCACTGGAGCAGGTGGTGAGAAACAAAGTTGTAACATTAAGCTTTCCCATGTGAGCCCTTTCACCCCTCTCCTACTGCCATATACCCTACAGCTTTCCATGCTGTCATCAAGCAGAGAAGACCAAATAAGGGCTAAATCTCCAGGCAAAACCAGAGCTTGAATCTGAGTATGAACCTAACTTCCCACAGACAATACAGCCATATTTTGTACTGCACTCTGACAGTTTCACAGGCTATATTTTGCCATTTGGAATGTTAAATCTATCAAATATTGATTCAATGCAGCAACTCAGGAGTCCTTCAGATGGAAATAAACACTTTCCTAAAATGACAACACTGATAAACAATAAAAATCTTTAAAACTAAGTTTCTGTGATTCACAAATAGTCCTCAGTGCTAAATAATTAAGGTTCACCTGCTAACAGAATGAAGAAAAATTTATAACTACTTAAATAACCAGTGTTTACAGTAATCCAGAATATCCAGCTGGGTACCATGGAATCAAGAAAGCAGTGTGTTTTAAAGGAATTAAGTTAACCCTAAGATGCTAATGCTCTACCTAATTCTCACTTTTTTAAAATACTGATTGTTTTCTCATAACAATTCATCAGGAGGACAAATTCGGGCTCACATTACCAGTTATTCTTTTTTTCCTCTGATATTCATAATTTTTGAGTTTCTTGCAGATCCCTTACAAGAAAAAAAAAAAAACAAACCAAACCTACACTGGCCATTTTCACATTTCAGTCCAGAATAACAAAAACAAACAAACAAAAATCAGAAAAGTTATCCTACAATCAGAAAAAATCAGAAAATGAAACAAAATTCCTTAAGGGTATGTCTTCTGTTTCCTAGACATCCACACAACTCTGGCATATTCCAGTTTGCTACCACAATAACACCTATGGTCTTATCTCAGAACTTCCTGCTGTACCTCCAAGTGGCAAATGTCAGTAACATCAGAATTTCACACCTGAAAACATGTTGTACAATAAAGCCATTGAAGGAAATACTCCTCAAAGGAACTGGACTCCCATATGATTCTTCTATACAGAACAAGACCATAAAAACTAACCAAAAAACAGGGTCAGGAGTTCAGTAGCTTGTTTTAGCATTTTAAACAAGTCTTGATAGGAAGCACTTTCCAGCTAGGCAAAACACGCTCTCTCTACTAAAAGCCAGTTCCAAGAAATACACAGTCATAAGTTCTTTATTATAAGTACAGAGTAACACAGCCACAGGATAAACTTTCAATCATTATGTTAACCTTGAATAGTTTTAAAGAGTAACAGATTGTTATGATAATCTATACCAGTATTAAGATAGCAGTTCCACAAAATAGCTTATTTCATAAGCTAAACAATACATTTTAGTCATGGTATTTTTGTCCTGAATCCTACCTTTTAAGGGCCTCTTTCACTTCTGGCACTGAACGGATACACTGAACCGTAGCATTCATGTAGCAAGTGTTGCCAAGGTTTGTCAATCCACATGGCAATTCCATCTACCAAAAAATTCACAAGGGTGCTTAAAGGTCAGAGAGATGTGCAACCATTTTTTTATAAATGCTTTAACGTTACATCAACTTCTAAGAAGACGAGCTGTCAGAGATGCATAAAACATGGAATATTCCATCAAACTTCATGAAGTTTTCCAGATGCATTTTATGATTATATTAATCATTTCACCATTCGCTGTTTTTAGGGGACATTCAGGAATGCTTTGGTTTTCTTTCCTGTGCATGTTTAGTTTAATGAACATATTCTTCAAGCAGGCAGTCATTCAGAAAGTTCAATTATAATCTCATTCAAGTTTTGACCTTAAAGTTCTATTTCCAGGAAAGTTCCACATGAATACATTTGCACAAAACACTGGTGTTTTAATTAAAATCAGTTTTCAGTAAAACTCTGAAAGTGATGGAGTTTGTGGTCTGAAACAAAAGCATTATTTAAACTCCTCTTCAGAAGTCTACAACAGATCATTAATCTGATCTTTTCAGACAACTTGTGAATTTGACAAATGTGAAGGCCAACTAATAATTAAACTAACCAGTTTCAGAAACAACTATAAATTACCATGTAATAGCATTTTTATTTCTTTTTCTTTTTAATCCTCAATGCTTAGGTAGTCAGGGAAAAACACATAGTTTAATGAAACTGAAGTAGTACTGCATACCAATACCAATTAAATATTTGAATACACATTTAGCTGTGTATTCCATTATTGAACACATGCAGTACAGACAATTGAATTCTGATGTATTACAAAATTTCAATCAGAGAAATGCATTGCGATCACAACTTTTCCAAAATGTTCTCTGACACGATCATCTCCTTGCTTGCCTCTCAGTTATCTCAGTCTGTGTATGGGCTTAATCTCAAAAATACATAAATATCCTTCACCTGCAGGCAGCCTGGAAAGCACTAAATCCTGAAGCACAAACACAATCCTAAACTACAGATCCTTTTTCATACACAAATGCATAAAAGTATTCCCGTTCTGCAGGCACAGCTGACAACAGTCATGCAACTGTTAAGTGTGACAAAGAGCTCCCAGTTCAAATGACTGATGAGAAAATAAAGTCTTTCAAATGGTAAAAATGAAAACAACTCAGAATTTGGTTCATTAAAAAATAATAGATTAATTATGCTCTTCCAGACTTTGTTCCAATAAAGCAAGACATAAAATCTGTTCTACTAATGTCAAACTTACTTTCAATTTTCACAAAGAAAAGTTGACTACATAATGTATAATACTACTAACACAGATGTACAAAACCCCAAACACGCCCTACCCCAGACAAATCCTGGTTTCCCCCCACAGCTATGAAAGAGGCAGGAAACAATTTTGCACATCTAAGAGCCCTTGTTCAGACAAAGTTCAGGACACTAATACAGCAAAGGCAATACAATTTTGTCTTTAAAAACATTAGCAATGCTATTTTTAGAAAATCTACTGAGCTGCCTGCTCAAAGAAAAAACAGCACTAATTATATGACTTTTAAATTAAATCCCAGACTTCTCCTCACTGCTTCAATTTGGGTCAACAATGTAAATCTGCGTTTATCGGAGAAGATGGTAAACACACATTACAGTTTTAAAATCCAGTTTTAAGCAACTGCAAGTATTTAAAAACTTGCCATTACTTTGAGGTTTACAAGAAATCAAAGTTTCATATATGCTTACAGCTGAAGCCAGCTGCTCCTCTGTCATGTCTTCTACAAAGACAGGTCGAGCAATTGGCTCTTCTGGAAGTGCGTCTGCAGAACCCATCATCAGTAAGGTCATCCCCTTGAAACACAGTGAAAATAGCAATAAATATTTAAGGACAGTTATTTCCAGTTAAAAAAAAATCATTAAGCTCTTAACATATTTCAGCTATTTCCCCAAGAATAAACACAACCTTTCTCTTGGTTTACAGAACCAACACTGCACTATTGTGATTTAAGGGTATACCTTAACTTCCTCTTACCTAGAAAGTACTTATTGAGAACACTTCCACAGCATTATCCATGCTAGATGTTTCCTCTGAAACATCTAGTGAGCGTGCCAACAGCTGACAATGCGGGATACCAGCTGGGACTAAACTTAACATTCATGGAACACCCCAACATGAAGTGCTCAGAGAAGCTCCCTTCCTGATGGACCACTCGGGACGGACCACCTTCAACACTTGAGTGCAAATATTCCTCTTTCCTTTAAGCCTTACAAATTATCCAGGGTAACTGAGCAACCAAATTCTGATTTGAAAGTAGGTGCAACACTTGAGCTTCAATCAACTGTCTCAAGTTCTCAAACTCAGAATTCTCTAAACAACAACAAAAAGGTCCTTCATCCTTAACTTGGAATCTGAGGAGACATTTCAGACAGATGTGGATAATAATGAGGACCACGGCTTTGAGTTCCGTTTTTTTTTTTTCACCTGAAAAGCAAGCAGGAAAGGGAGGTGCCATCTTTTGGCCTGGCAAGTTCTGAGGCCATTAAACTAATTGGAAAGTAAAAAAGAACCTAAATTACCCCATCAGTTTAGGCATGAGGACCAACATTTAAGGGGGGAAAAAAAAGCAGCAATCAAGTTACCATGCTTGCTGAACTACCATAAGGAAAAGGAGTCTTTTAGCATTCAATAGGAGTACATCTACACAGTAAGATCTATCAAAGGAGGAGAAAATTACTATCTGGGGCCTTGAAAAAATACAGTGTTAAGGAAGAGAATGAACAACAGAATGAAAAGAAACTGCTTTGACAGTGCAAATAAATCCCTAGAACTTTTATATAATATTATTAAAATTAATAAAGGCAGCTATTAGCACAACAGTATGCAGAAAAGGACAAGAATATTACTGGGTTTTTTGGTGAATGACTTTGCTACAATAGCTGCATCTACAGGCTGCTAACGGATGACTGCGAACTAGTTACAAGGGTAAGAGTAATGCTACCTAAGTCAATGTGCTCAGTGAAGAACTGGAGCAAAACCTGTAACAGATGTTCCAAGATGTTACGAGATTTGTACAGAAACGAAAATGACCAAAAAAAAAAAAAAACCCAAACAAAAACTTGTGGGATTCCTTAGTGCAATATTATACAGGTAAGCAGCAAAAATACATTCACTTTTTATTTTCTTTTTGAACTAGCCAAAGGTATGAATTAAGATTACTAATGGCTTTGTTTATAAACAGCAGCTATTTAGTACAGGAGAACAAATTTCAGGAGGGTGGTATAAAAGGACTTGGAAAGACCTGTAACTTCAGCATTCCCAACACAGGTTGTCCACACTGGGGACGAACGAGCACGAGAATCCACAGACGGTGCCCAGCTTCACAAGCTCTCTCTGCATAACATCACTTATTTTTATGGTCACAGATAGACCACGCAGAAGGACCACTGCTCAGACCCAGAGCATTTCTTGTAAGAAAGAAAGAAATACATGCTCCCAAGTGCTTCAAAAAAGATGGTGTGATTTCCCTACTGATGCCAAAGAAAGGTTTTTTACAAATCAATGGTGAGACCTCTGTAAGCATCCTTAGGTATGACACTTATTAAATTATTTTTCATCAAGATGTGATTTTTAAGAAAGCGCTATCCATTCAAAGAGAAACAGCAAGCACTTTTAAGTCTTTCTTTAAATGCCAAAATAAAAATCAAACTAGTAAAATTTAGTTACTGCTGAGAACTTACATTCTTTATTTTTAGGTTCCCCCAGTCATCATCCTGTGAAATAAAATAAAAGACAAGTTAATTATCTTGCAGCAAAAGACAAGCAAGCATTTTCATTAATATTCATCATGTATTTCTAAATATACAACTGTGTTTCAGCCAAGATTACACAACATTAACCCTTTACACATCATCAAGTTTTGTCTGACTGAAATAAAAAGCACCAAAGTCATCTTTTCAATAAGGTTCTTCATCTGTTATTCAACACTGCTTAGATGTAAACAGCTTTTTGAAGCAAAGTCGACTTTATCTCATTGCACCAGAAAGTCTCCAGCAAAGAAATGCTAGAGAAACTTTTGTTAAACAAGCTAAAAAGGAAAAAAGTTGCATTTGGATTCTGAACATGAAACAGTGACAGGAAAAGAAAACCACCAAGCAGAGCAGCGTTTGGTATAAAAGAGTAAAGAAGTGTTTTAAAACAACAGTGTATCTCAAAACTATTTAGCTACAAACTTTTGCCAGTATTTTCTAGCAGTAGGCAACAAACTATGCACAATTATTTCAGAAAAGTGCAATCTGTTTAACAGCTACAACGAAAGACCTTCTGGAGGAACACTTGAAAATATGGTCATTGCTTGTGTTATCACATAATAAAGTTAGAAATAATAGAAAAAACGTGGATTTCTACCTTCAGAGTTCCTCCTTTAACCATAACCTTCTGTCTAGCTGGCTGAACTCCAGTCAGTGCAAATAGCTGGGCTTTGAAGACCATTGGAGGTTCGTCAGTGTTCAGCTCCACGCCATCAAATTTCTCTTTTCCCCATTTCACATTAACTGCAAACAAAATGTTTTGAAACTGGATTATTTCCTAATATACGGGAATGTAATTACCAAGATCACCAAGACTTTATACTGTCTCAAAACATTCAGTTTTCAGGTCTTAAAACCTGTTAATAACCAAGCTAAAGGACACTTTTTTATATGGCACATACTACTTCCAACAAGTCTAAATATATCCTACAAAACCATTGTAAGCAACATATATACTGAGAAACCTTGTAAGAAACGAATGTGTGTAACAGCATCAGAAATCCTTTAGGCAGGTCTTCACAAAAGCAGTTTGGAACCAACTCTCCCATTCTCTTGGTACTGTTCATTGCAAACAAACAAACTTTCTGAAGGAAGTTCAGGGGTGCAATTCCGGTTCAGTTTTCCATAGCATTTCCCTTCTCCTTCAGCAGAAAACAATACAATGTTCTTTAAAAGCAAGGCTACTGATCCCAGGAAAGGTGCAGGATGGGAATTAAGAAGTGAAGTGAAATTTGGTTACACAAAGCATAATTCTTGATGCTGGAAAGGGGATCACAAGCAGAAACATCAAGCAGAGTGGCACAATGGAGTGTCAGCTTCATTTTAGGGAAGTTAGTACCGACCGAGAGCAGACAAAAAAGTGCCTGGAACAAGCCGTGTGTTTCTAATGAACACCTTTGACCACTTCCTATCACTATCACAGGTACAAAAGGCTTCTTCAGCATGCTGAAGGTTTGCTGAAAATCTGTAAAATACAGCAGGCAGCGATATTCTACATGCACAGTAAATGGCTGAAATATCAGAGCTTAGGAAAGCCACATTCTTCTACCTGTGTTTCCGTTTTACACAAATATATTACAGCAACGCTGCCTTTATTTTTTAAACACAAAACTCTTAGAAGTCATAATTTAAAAAAACCCTTCCAAAAAGGTTCAGATTTCAGATGTATGCAGTGCTTGTGATGTGTAATATGATAGAATAATCACAAGTAAGTCTAAATTAGTTAAGACTAAATTAGTCTACAAAGCAACTCAAATGACTGACTTTTCAGTATTTCTAGCAGAAAGTACCTTCTGATTTGCCCAACCTTCTGGGGTTTTTTAAACACATTTATTATTTCACATATTTTAGACCTACCAAGCACACGGCTTTCCCCATTTTCCAGGAAGACAACCCACTCAGTCACCGAACAAGTCAGCTGCATAGATTTTTGGGTTTTGAATTTTTGAACAGTCATGCATCCACTGCTAACTATGCAGAAGAGTTAGCAATTATTAATCTGTAGTGTCACTGGTGGTTTTGTCAGTGTCAGTGCTGGTTTTGACAACTCAGCACTCAAGAGGAGGAACTGAAAAGCATGAGTGTCTTCTCTTAAGAGAACGCAACCAAGACTTCATCCAAAACAAAAGAGAAACTTGTTAATTTGAAAATAATGGAAAGTAAGAAAAAGGAAGGACATATTTTCCCCACTGATCAGAAAACACAGCTCGCACAGACCACAGAATGGGTCAGGTCAGAAGGAACTACAGTGGGTCATCTGGTCCAATCTCCCTGCTTAAGCAGGGTCGTCCTAGAGCACAGGGCCAGGATTATGTCCAGACAGTTCTTGAATATCTCCAATGAGGAAGACTCCACAAAATGTGGATGAGTTCAGGAAAAGTTCTGTTATACTGACATAAGCATCTCAGTTTGACAACCACAATTAAAATAGTGGAGAAACTGTGTACTGATGCCATGTACAACTTAAAAAAACTAAAAAGCCCCAACAGACCAGACCTGTGAGATATAAGCAAGGAAGTGTCACTGGAGTGTCTATGGAAGTGACTTCCATAGAAACTTTGCCTCACGGCAAGGAGGGCAAGAGGAACGCAGTACAATTTAAGTAAGCTTTAACTTGAGGTTTAGGTTAGACATCGGGAAGAATTTCTCCATAGAAGGGGTGATTATCCACTGGAATGCACTACCCAGGGAGGTGGTGGAGTCACCATCCCTGGAGGTGTTTAAGGAAAGACTGGATGTGGCACTTAGTACCATGGTCTAGTTGACAAGGTGGTGATCCATCATAGGTTGGACTCGATGATCTCAGAGGTCTTTTCCAACCTATCTGAGTTTGTGATTCCTCCAGTTTTACCTGGAACATAATGGATTTAAAAGAGCAGAGGTAGACGCACCTAAACAAATTCGGAGGCACGGATGCAGAACTCCGGCTCACCTGACGGGCAGCACCACTTCTCTTTTAGCAGAAAACCCAAAAAAGCCGAGACAGGGCAGTGCCGAGACCCGCGGGACGTGTGAGACACCCGCCCTCCCTTCCTCCCTCCCAGCCACCCACAGGGCCAGGCCAGCACTCCTCCCTCCCGCCCCGCTCCTCGGCCGGGCCGCGCCTGCACGGGCGCTCCCGCCGCGGCCGGTGTTGCCGGAGACCGGCGCATCACGTGTTGCGGCGCTCCGCTCCGCTGCCCTGGGCGGCAACCGCCACGCTCCCCGCCCGGGAAGGGCCGCCGTGAGTGCGCGGGCGCGGGCGCGCTCACCTGAGAAAGGCGCCATGGCGGAGCGGGCGTGTCCGGGCGGGCAGGGAAGTGAAAGGGGGAAGCGCGGCGGGGAGCGGCGCTGTCGGGCGGATGACGGCAGCAGGGCGGGCGGTTGTCGGCGGTCGGGTCCGGCCCCGCTCGGGGTCTCATTCAAAACCAGCCCCGGGATTTGACGCTGCATACTGCGCGGCCGCTCGGCGGAGCGGGCGGGCGTACTTGTCTTGTGCGCGCGCACCGCCGCGACGGCGGGGCCCCCCGCCAGCAGCGGTGAGCGCGCACGGGAGCGGGGCGGCGGCGTCGGTCGGCGGTCTTGCGGTCTGGTCCGGGTCCGGTCCGGGTCCGGGTCTGGTCCGGGTCCGGTTAAACCTGCGAGCCGTGGGCAGAGCCGCCGCTGTAGGGTCTGCGTGGGGTCGGGAAATGGGCCCCGGTGTTGGTGCCGTGGACGGGGAACATGGATGTGGGGAGCGCAAGGCTGGAGGGAGAGTGTGTCCAGTTCGTACGAGAGAGACGTGGAGCCCCTGGAGCGGGTCCAGAGGAGGGCAACAGACATGATCAGGGGGACTGGAGTATCTCACGAGGAAAGGCTGAGAGATTTGGGCCTGTTTGGCTTTACAAAGAGACGACTGAGAGGGGACGTCTTTAATGTCTATAAATATCTGAAGGAAGGGTGTCAAGAGGATGGAGCCAGGCTCTGCTCGGTGGTGCCAAGCAATAGGACAAGAGGCAGTGGACAGAAAGTGATGCACGGGAAGTTCCACCTGAATATAAAGAACTTCTTTACTGTGCTGGTGACCAGGCACTGGAACAGATTGCCCGGAGAAGTTGTGGAGTCTCCTTTACTGGAGATATTCCAGAACTGTCTGGACACAATCCTGTGCCATGTGCTCTGGGATGACCCAGGTTGAGCAGGGAGGTTGGGCCAGATGACCTGCTGTGGTCCCTTGCAACTCACCGATTCTGTGAGAGCTGAGGTGGGCTTATGGACCCCCTGGGGGGTCTGCCCAAATCCGCTGTGATTGCACAAGGCAGGGGGAGGGAGGCAGAAAAAATAAAAAGGTGTCGTGGATGAAATACGTTTGGTTTATAAGAGAAGATGGAGCGAGAGATAAAACTGTAAACAGAAGAACTTTACTGAGGGGAGAGAGGGGATGACTAATCTACCAGCAATGATTTTGAGACTCGGTGAAGGAGTACTGAAACATGAGTGTGATGGCAACAGCCAGGAGCCTTCAGGACAAAATCCTTCAAGTTTTAAAGATACTGAAACCAGTAGATATGGAGACACACAAGTCTCAACTGCTACGAAAGCTCTCAGTATTAGGCTGTGATTAAAGAACCCAAAGCAGTGCTTAAACATACAAAAAGGGAGACCATGCCAGAAAGAAACATCTCTTCCTTGGACCCCTCCTAGATACCACCTCTTGGAACCTGGCAGTCCTCTGCTGCTTACATCTGCAGCTCTTAAGAGCTTCTGACACAGCTTATATCACCATCTGGTTGTCTGCATGTGCACTTCTGGTCCTGCTTTTGCCACAGAAGTGGTATCCAAAAAAAGAAGGATCTTTCCTTGATAAATGTGCTGTTCATCAAATGTGATTTTCAATTCCAAACAGTAGAAGAATGATATACAAAATGGCCATAAAGACAATCCAAAGTTTGAAAGTAAGCCTTAAAATGGAAGGCTTAGAAATTTCAGTCTTGGCTTAAAATTTCAGTCTTTTCTGACTGTCATGGAGAAGAGCAAAAGTTGATTTTATTCAGTGTAGGCTCCTAGATGTGAAAAGGAGGTGTGGGAGGACCAAGGAATGCATTTCACAGAGAAGCTTCAATTGGTGTTATGCTGAAATTAATCTGGATCTTGAATTAAGGTGGAGTTTCCAATTACTGAGGCAATTTAAATATTGATAAAGTTGGCCAGCAAGAGTGATGAATCTTCTGTTACTTAGACTTGCTGAAAGGAGCTTTCTAGAAAATCTTTAATCCCATTCTAGGGTGAGATCCTGCAGATCATCTATTCAAGTGAGAGCAGACCCCAGCTGCCTGCCTGTGAGTCTGGGATGTCTCCAGTGTAGCCTCTTAACACCAACAGTGACCTACATAGAGGCGGTTTATTTGGGACTGCTAAATGGAAGTGGGATGCTCTATTGTCTGAAGTGGCACTGAACACATTCTCCCCTTTAGAGTAACCAACCCTTAGTGGATCAAGGCCCAGGCAGTCACAGACAGTGCATTTCCAGGATTTGAGACAGGCACTAGATGGTGCTGTGCTGAAAGAGAAGCATCGGGGGTTGTATCTACAGGAAAAATCATCCCAACCTCTGCAAGGTGAAAAACCACTACCTCCCTCTTCTTTCCTCCCAGACCGTGTAGGCCTCTTCCTGCAGTAACAGCTGCGTGCCTTTTTCCTTAAGGAGGTAATCAATAGATGCTGGTTTCCCTGAATCTTACACAAACTGTCACAAGGAGTGTAGAGAAAAAGAGTGCAACCTGATCTATA